CTTTCAAACTTCTCCACTACCCACATCATTTTATCCTCAATGCTAAAAAACAAACTTGCAAAATCCGCAAAGCAAAAAAACACACCACCAATAACACTTCTAGCAAAAATTACACAAAATTCATAATCCTGCCCTCCAACACTCTTTCTACTAAACCTGCAAACAAATTAGTTATCTCTAATACCAGGATTGTTATCACCACCTCCAGGACAATCAGAGTTATAATTAGGAAGAAAAATAAACCCAACACCAATTCAAATGACAGGATTTATCAAATAAATTGTTTACAATACAAAATTTTCATGTAGGGAAAAGATCATGTGATCTAAAAGCCTGCATCTACGAACACAAGAGTGACTTGCATTTGGACAAATGATCCAACTTTCTCATCATGCATTGATAGTAAGTCTGATCAGTTCAATAAGGTGAAAATGGAAGCTGATATCCAAAATGACCTCCAATCTGTTGTTAAGTGGGGCAAAAGATGGTTTGTTAATTTTAATGCCTTCAAAACTAAACTTCTCTCTATTAATCATCTGAAAGACCACTCTCTGCCTTCCATCAGTAAGGCTGATGTTAACCTCTTGGAAAATGACTCATTGCACCATATCAGGCTAATGTTCTCAGCTGACATGAAGTGGAAAGACTAATATTGAATCCATTGTTAGATCAGCTGCTAAGAAAGTTGGTTCACTGTGTTGTGCAAGAAAATTTTTCTCTCCAGAATCTATCATACATATCTATAAGTCTACCATTCTTCCAAGCTTAGACTATTGCTGCCATATATTGTCCAGTGCTCCTGCTATTTACCTTGAGCTCCTTGATAAAATCCAAGGAAGAATTAGCAGTGTTGATCTGATGGCTTCAATCACTTTCCCACCACTCTAAGGTTGCCTCACTGTATTTTCTATAAATACTTTCATGGTAATTATTTGGATGAGCTTTTCACTATGATACCTAGACTCTTTGAATTTAAGCGCAGTACAAAACTGGTATCAAGATCACATCAATTTATAGTTGTCACCATAAATTCTATACTAACAGTTTCTTTTCTCCCACTTCTCACTTGTGGAACTCCCTTCTGGATCCATGCTTTCCAGCCAACTTTAATCTTCAAATATTTAAATGCAATGTCAATCATTATCTCCTGTCCTCCTGATTACTCTTTTTGTTCCCATTCATTAGTAATGTCTAATTCTTCCACACCCAGTAACCCATTCTCTGTGGCTTTACTACCTTGCTTGGGGTGAAATCAATAATCACAGATACTACAAAAAATATATTGTTGAACACTTACAGCTTAGTAAAATTTGAACATTTTGAATTTTAGTGAGACACCCATTTCTTTTGCCTGCCACTGTACAACAACAGGAAGCTATAGGAAAAAATTGTTTACCTAAACGCACAATCTAAATTAGCAAAAAACATCACATTTTTTTTTCTTTTTTACCAGATGTTATTGGATTTTTAATAAAATAAATTTTATTTAAAAAAAAAATTTTTTTTTTCATTTCTCATTTGGAAGAATTTTTTAATTTTCCATGTAAATATCCTCTACTATTGAAATTATTACAAGTCTTTTGGAGTAATCCCTCTTTGAATGAGCCACTTGGCATTGTACAACAATCTTTAACTGGCTAAAAAGGATCCACTCTGAAAGCCTCTTACTAAAGCTGCTTCATCCCAATCTGCACGCCATATTTGAATCTTTCTTTCTCTTTCCTACATTGGCTTTCAATATATAGCACGTACAAAAAAAACTGCTCTTGGAAAAAACTTTATCAACAAATCTGTCAAACCTGAGATTGTAGTGCCTACCCCACATGAAGAAATATCTTCTCAATCCTCAGTAAGTCCTGACACCGAGACATCATTAGCCACTAACACAACAAGAAATCACAAGACCTCAAAGAACTGTTAACAGGACGTTTCTTTTCTGTGAAGTCTGCAGAACACCATTTTTTGCAAAGTGATGGTATTTCACCTGTTTAAGTTTGTTTGAAAAGATAAGTAATTACCGCTGTAGGAAAAAAAAAAAGAAGGATAATTCAATAACGTGACACGGCATGAGAAAAAAGAACAAAACCAAACTTTTGAGATTCAAACCTTTTATGAGTATAAGAAAGGAAGTTTACAATAATGGTGTTGCAAAAAAATGATATTTTGCAGACTTGTCATAGAAAAGAAATGTCCTGTTAACAGTTCTTTGAGGTCTTATGATTTCTTGTTGTTGGCTAGCAACGTCTCAGCGCCTAGACTTCTTGAAGATTAAGACATTTCTTCATGTGGGGTAGGTACTACAATCCCGGGTTACACAGCTTTTTTGGTGAAGATTTTCTGAGCACTTTTTTTTAATTTTTTTTAATTTTTTTTTTATATGTGCTAATGTGCTACTTGTTGAATGCCAATGTGGAGAAAGAGAAAGAAAGATTAAAAAAATGTCGTGCAGATCCGGAAGAATCAGCTATAGTAAAGGGTCTTCCGAATAGTTCTTTTTCAGCCAGTCACAGAGATCGTTGTAACAATGTCAAGGGGCCCGTTCAAAGGGGGGTTACTCTCGTAATAATTTCAATAATTTTTAAATGATTCTTCTCTTTTTTTCTTTCAGTGGTGACTCTAATAACCGGTTAAAAGCACACACAAAAGATAAAATATATTATTAATAATTATTATATAAATATTATACAAGAAATATTCAATTAATAATTACTTGAATATTTTTTGTATGTGTTTTGACTGAAATGAAAAACCTATTTTTAATCACGGAAGGTTCAAGCGGGTGCGTCTCGCAGATCAATTCATTAACGTAAAAAGTAAAAAAAAACTAAACCACTCTCTCTAAAAAACCGCGTTCGATACGGAGTATTCAGTTTTATATTCAGGATGGATGGAGGCGATCATGGCTCTCCATACGTGTAGGTGTATCAAAAAATAAAAAAATAACTCAGTTGTATTGGTTATTCTTGTGTAGGGAATTATTATATAAAGAAAAATATGTGTTGTTTTTATTTTCTTAAAAAAATACAGAAAAATAAGTGTGCGATAAAATTATTTCTACACTTTTACAAAAATTAGATTGCTCTTTAACAGAACGGGGTAAAAAAAACGCTTCAACTTTTTCTTCAACTTTCTGACGAACAAATAAAAAAGGAGTACACGTACACTTACACACAGTGTTGATGATACGGTCACTCATTTTTTTTTTTACTCGTCTTCACCATTATGAAGATATGATTTTAAGGACATTGTTTAATGATGGCTATAAATAAATTTGCAATTGTTTTTATTTGCTTTTATCTTTCGTTACATAAAATAAGAAGCAAAATGCTATATATAATGCGTCATGTCAATGTATCTCCAAGTTTTAATCAATCCGTTCGATTTTTGTCTGAGTGATAACGATAGAAATTTTTGAAAATTCAAATTAAATCTTTTCTTTCCTGAAAAAAGATTATCAATGTTGTTCTTACCTTAGAATGATCCGAAGCACCATATTTATTTTGTTTGTTTGTTTTTTTTTTTTCTTTAAAAAAAGAAAGTTATGAGACGAAGCAGAAAAAGAGAAGGAAAAAGACAGGAAAGGACGTCTTTCCTTTTCCGCAGCGGTGATCGTCTGATGTAAATTCAGAGGTAAAAAATGTAATGTTAATTTTAATTTAGCAAAGCCAAAAAGATTGCTAGGTTAGGAAGTCTATTCAAAAATAAATTCTGATGATTCTTTGGGAATATGATTTGGCTTTAATAACACTTTATTTTATTTTTAAGACTAATTTTTTTAGGTGGGGCAATAATTACGAAGAATTATTTTTGGGTTATCACCGGTTGTATGACTTGACAACAGTATCTTTTTGTATTGCAGTGCATCATTTTCCAATTATAACTTCTAACGAAGAAAAATAAAACGTTACTAATAATTTTTTTTTTTTGCTCTCACCTCCAAAACAACTTATAAAGTACAATTTAAAAAAGTTTATAGTGATTTTTTTATTGTACGAAATATCAATAAACTTCACTTCACTAATTCAATCTCACTACATTGGATTTTTTTTAATCGAAACAATTAAAATAAATTTGCATTTGAAAGGAAAATAAAGTCATCTGGATTTTTTAAAAAGAAAATAAATCCCTTATTTGGACATCCTTATGTGATTCTTTTCATTTATTACTGTTTTTCAACTTCAAATTAATTGTAATCTGTTTTAGTTTTATTGACACAGTATTTCTTTTTTTTAATTATTATTATTTATTTGATTTATTTTCTTCTGCGGAACGTTTCGGTTAGTTAATTATTACGACTTCTTCAGTTGAAACTTTAGTGCAGTTGTTTCATCAAATAAGGTTGGAGAATGAGCCGGCCACAATGTTGAAAAAATAATTGAAAAACTTTGAATTTTGTTTGATTGTTACACCATTCCATGTTGTTGTTAACAAAGAAGAATTTTTAAATTAAAAATAATAAGGAAAACTTATTTCTTAGTCGTAATTTAAAACATGGGTAGAAAACACAAACTGGAAAACACAGATAATTTGAAAGAAAAACCATTTAAAACATTAAACTAGAAGTTATCGTTTTCTAATGAAAAAATAAAGACAGCACACGAATCAATTAAATAAAAAAAAAGAATTTGATTTTTAAAAAGAGCGAAAATTATTTTTGTTTCCTTTTTTAATGAGTATTATTTATTTTGTTATATTTTTTTAACGAGTATAATAAATTACAATATGTGGTATATTTCGTTTTCAATGTTAATGGGTAGTTAAAAATAAATAAACAAATTAATCGAAAAAATCTGGCCCCATTCCAAAATCACTGTCAAACAAAACTCTAAAGTTTAAAGAAGTAATCTTTTATTGAAATAAATATTTTTTTAAATGTTACAAAATATTCACTTTGTTTTATGAAAAAATTAATATTTTTAAAGTTTATGTTTTAAGAATGCGGCAAAATAAAGTTTGTTAGATTATTAACTGGTTGTCATGACTACCAAAAAACTACTACCATGGCGAAGTTTGTCATCGCCGGTAAGTGTTCGGATAATTTTACTCAATATTTAATGCTTAAAAGTAATTGAATGTTCGTTTTTTGTTTGTTTTTCCTAAAGATATCGACCTGAAAACATTTTACTTTATTTAAAAATGCATTGCGTAATTTATCTTTTCCATCATTTACAAACAGACTAAAAATAAAAAAGTAAAAAAACATATTCTTTCGACATAAGTAATAACTTCAGTAATCCAAGCTACGAAAACTATTTTAGATTATAGGTTTTTTATTTATCATATTACATGCATAACACATAGATTTTACGATGGCTTGTAATGATTTTTAAAATATTTAAGAAATAAAATAAAGAATTTTTCTTTTAATTTTTAAATTAAAGTTCTCAAGTTTTATGAGTTATCTCCCTTAAACTGTAATCGCTAACATTTCATTTAAAGATTTTCGAAGTTAATAATTTCTAAAATAATCTTCGTTTTTACTACCACTACTACTACTACGTTATTTTCTTTTCGTCTATTAACTAGATTCTGAATGCCTTTGATTTTCACCACTAGGTAGTTAGAATCTTTTAGTTTTATTCAGTCATTTCAACATGTGGGCAATCATAGCTCTCTACTGCCTCCTGTTTTTATTGCTCTTTTCATCATATACCAATACCATTCATCTATGTCCTTGCACTGTCATGCAGTACACTCTATTCCCATAGATTAAAGGAAGGGTTCAGTTTGAAATTCCCTGTAGGTTACCAAGATTGCCAAATTCCTGATTAAATCTGGATAATAGAACAATCAAAACATTGTGATTACAACAAGAAAGATGATGATAATAGTCCCGCATGTAAATAATAACTCCTCATTCCAGAAATTCAGACAGCAATTAGTCCTTTATTGCTTTCCATTGCTACCTTGTTTAAGAATTCTTTCAGCTTTCTGATTTTGCCATCACCTCAGTATCATCTGCATATCTCACATTGTTAAGATTATATCTACCAATAATAAACCCTAGTAGGTCTTGTATTTCTTTTAGGATTGTTTTGCTGTATTGGTTAAATAAAACTGGTGAGAAAATAAGTCCTTGTCTTACTCCTCTCTCTATTTTTATGCATTCACCCACTGCTTTAATTTCTCATTTAAATACAGACTGTTCTCAATAATGATTAAACCTCATTCCCTTAATCAATTAGCTTGAATCCTGTAGAGGTGGAATCGAACCTAAGACGCCCAGTTACAAGACCGGAATGGTCTTGGCGTCACACCCCCATAGAAGTAGACTCGCCCGCTTACATGAGAGGCGAGAGTGGGCTACTTAAACAAGACATTCACGGCAACGAGTATCAAGGCAGATACACGTCGTCTCGCTGCTACCTTACATGGCGTCGCCGATAGGATTCCAAGCGTCAGGAGACGCATATACACGCAGGTTCGACAATATTACTGTAGATATGCCCAGGAAAACAAGATGTATTGACGATACGATACTATGGGACAACTCTATTGAATCATCATTTTGGCATACTATAGAGTACACAAATAACTGCAGCAAAAAATGGTATCGTATTCAACCCCCAGAAATTTCACTTCATGGGAAAAAGAGGTGGAATTTGCGGGTTCTTGATAACAGAAGACGGGATAAAACCCACCAAAAAATGACTGAAACAATACGGAATTTCCCGACACCAAAAAATATAACTGACATAAGATCCTGGTTTGGAATGGTAAACCAGGTAGCCTACGCTTTTTCTCAGGCCGAGGTAATGGCCCCGTTCGAGGAGCTGCTAAAGACAAAAAATCGGAAGTTCTACTGGGACAGCACACTCGATCGAATCTTGAAGAGTCGAAAAGAAGGATCACAGAAGAAATCGAGAACGGTGTAAGAACCTTCCAGTGAATAGGCCAACTTGTTTGTCGACGGACTTCAGCAAAACAGGCTTAGGATATTTTCTTTTCCAGAAGCACTGCAACTGTGCCACCGCTGCTGGACCGAAGTGTGGTGAGGACCACTGGAAGTTAATCCTGGCGGCTCCCGATTCACTAATGACGCAGAGTCCCGATATGCACCAGTGGAAGGAGAAGCATTGGCATTAGTCTACGGACTGGAAGCATGCGGATGTTCGTTTTGGGGTGCCCAGAGCTGTTAGTCACCGTGGACCATAAGCCCCTGGTGAAGATCTTCTCGGACAAAGCTCTGGAGGACATAAGAACCCAAGACTGTTTAACTTCAAAGAACGGTCCTTGATGTACAAATTTCGAATAAAGCATCTCCCTGGCAAACTCAATGCAGCACCAGACTGTACATCGAGATGCCCAGTGGCGTTAAGCCAGGAGGAAGCAAACGAAAAGGACATCGCACAAACTATGGATAGCGCCATAAGAGCGTCATTTAACTCCACCTATGAGCAGGACCCTAAATTAAGAGCAATAACATGGGACAGGATTGTGGCTGCAGCTGCTACTGACGAGGAATGCCGTTCCCTCGCCGAATTCATACAAAATGGCTTCCCTAAATCTCGGCACGAACTGCCGGAGACAATTCGCCGGTTTTGGCATATGAAAGAGGAGTTATATTGCTTGGAAGGGGTGACGATAATGGAAAATAAAATCCTCATACCCAGAAAGCTATGTGCGGAGGTACTGGAATCGCTCCATTCAGCGCATCAGGGCGTCAATGGAATGTTGGCAAACGCTAGACAGCGGCTGTTTGGCCAGGACTGGACGCGAGCATTCGTCAAACCGGGCCCAGTGCAAAGTATGCAACGTAATAGCTCCATCACAATCCAAGGAACCCTAATGCCGCCCTCGAACCCCGAGTTCCCATTTCAGAAGACTGTGACGGACTTCTTCGATTTACGAGGAAGAACTATCTAGTATATGCAGATAGATACACCGGATGGGTAGAAGTCACTCTGATGTCGTCTGGGAATGCCAAGGCTACATGTGACGCCCTCTGAAACTGGTTCTGCGTATGGCGTGCGGAGAACTTTCAACCCGATGGCGGACCACCGTTTGACTCCAGTGAATTTAACCGGTTCCTAGATAATTGGGGCATAAAGAAACGAACATCATCGGCATATTACCCTCAAAGCAACGGGAGAGCAGAACTGGCAGTTAAAACGGCTAAAAGGATACTTGTTGATAGCACGGACAGTTGCGGTCGCCTATGCCATGACCAGGCAGCTAGGTCCCTACTGACTCATCGCAACACCCCGCACAGACCTACATATGTCTCCAGCGATGATGCTCTATGGTCGCATGATAAAGGACCATCTCCCAGTGCTCCAGGACCGATATCGAATCCACAAACGCTGGAGAGAAATCAGTCATTATAGGGAAACAGCGATGGCAAAAAGACACTTAAGGAATGAAAGAGAATACAATCTAAAAAGTCACCCACTTCAGGAACTGAAAATCGGGAAACGGTGCAGATACAGAACCAAGTTGGTCCATACCCGCGCCGATGGGCAAAAGACAGGAAGGGTGGTGGAAACACTGGGTAACCGGCAGTATAATGTACGCATGGATGGAAGTAACCGGGTAACCCGTCGCAATCGCAGATTCCTCCGAAAAATAAACCCAGTAGTAGATACTCCTTGCCACTCGATACCTGAGGTGCCCCCAGGAATGTTGGATACCATAGACAACCCAACAGGGCCCGAAATACCGGGAGAATGGTCCACCACTGATATGGATCAAAACCAGCCCGAAACATCCGACACTCTACCAGAACCGATGGAGGTAGATGACACAGCATCCCTGGAATGATGGAGGTTGAGGAAGACCAACCGGTGCGTCGTAGCAGAAGGGTGACGCGACCACCCAGGAACCTATCCCCACAGACGTGGGGCACGTCGCACGACTACTCCAGAGCCTCAAAACATTGGACCACAACGCGAGTATCTTGTGGCCCCGGAAGGGAGGTGGCGTGTAGAGGTGGAATCGAACCTAAGACGCCCAGTTACAAGACCGGAATGGTCTTGGCGTCACACCCCATAGAAGTAGACTCGCCCGCTTACATGAGAGGCGAGAGTGGGCTACTTAAACAAGACATTTACGGCAACGAGTATCAAGGCAGATACACGTCGTCTCGCTGCTACCTTACAAATCCCAATAAATTTTTCGAAGAAAGAGCCTCATTAAGAATACAACTGTTCATCATAGTGATCAGGGTCTGCCCTATGATGATGAAATTGGTTTTGGAGGTATTGAATGCTATGAGCTAGTTCCTATTATTCAAATGCATAAAATTTGCAGAGTGTTTGTAGATGGTAACAAGCTTGTGGGTTTTGTATGTACTTTTTAAGTGAAGGTGTGTGTTCAATATATAAACAAAGATAGATGAAGCATACAAAAAACTTGATTTTCTGCTATGGATGTTTATTTCTCGTATGGGGACTGTACTGAAACAAAATTAAGCATTTCTGGAATATGTCTGTTTGCTTTTTGGTTCAGAAAGTATTTATGGTAAGTAAGGTAAGAACAGGTAAAGATGGTCAAGCTCAAGTCAGCCTGGCACTGAGTTGGAATGGGCAAATCTCTACTTCATGAGTAGGGTTGCTGAAAACATGTGCAAACGATTTTTCTCTTTCCACTTTCCAAGTGGAAAGAGAAAGATTCAGACAGTTGTACTGGACATGCAGACAATGGGATGCCGATGTGCAGCAGTTCCGGTTGTGTCAACAGTCGGACTGGACATATTGATGAGAGGAAGTTGAGGTGTGGTTATTCCAGTCATGTCGGTGGTCAGGCTGGACATATCGACAACAGTACGCTGAAGTGTGGTGCTTCCACTCGTGTCAACGACTGGAAGTTGAGGTGCAGTGGTTCTGGTTGTGTTGATGGTCGGATTGGACGTGTTGATGACAAGAAGTTGGTGTGTAGTCAGATGTTGGACAAGGGCTGAAATGGTTGCCTCCTGGCCATCTACTTCAACAATTCAGATAAATCATTGGAGATAATCCGACACAAAATTTGGAAACTTCCTGCCTCTTGGTTGTCTGCTTTAATGATTTGGGTGAATTGTCAGAGAGATTCCATCTGCAGGATGGAAACCTCCTCCCTAAACAGGGCCAAGTCGTTGAGATGATACAACTTCCAGGGCAGATCAACTATGGAAAGATCAACCAAAGGGTATCTCTCAGTGGGGCACCGGGGAGGTCAAAGGGAAGCGCACATATACTACATCCTGATCTTGGCCCCTGGGCTGAGAAGCCTCCTTTTAGTCACAAAAGGGGCCAAATTTATGTCAGTAATGTTTGTTTATTCATTCCCTGGCTACTGGGAGTAGAAAACATTAAATGTAAAAATGTATGTTGGTTAACACTCCCTTTTAACGGTATGTTTCTAACTCAAAATATATCAGAATAGTTATTTAAGTGCTAATTAACTGCTGATTCAATTTTGGTAGTAGTAGGGTTGCAAAGGTCAAGGTCATCCTATTTGTTTATGTTTTTGGAGCAGTCAGCAGCAGCTGCAACAAATACCACTGCATTTGATGGAACATTGATTTTGTATGAAGAATGCTACTTACATGACATTTTAATGAAAATGTATAACTTTTCTAATATACAAAGGAGATGAAATAGTGTTATATTCATTCAAAAACAAATGATTTTTGCCTCAAAATATGTTTTGTTTTTTGTTTGCAGGTGAATCAGAGTGTCCATTTTATGCATTAGCAGAATTACTTGGAGACCAATTGGCTACAAATTTGCCAGATTTCAAATTCTACAAAATTGTCAAGACTTCAAGTGAATGGAAAGTAAGTTAAGAAGGAACATTCTAAAGAAATTTACGTTGAAATTATGCAGAATATGATCATTTCAGTCAAAACATTCTTTGGCCTTCATCTAGTGTATGCTGCATTCAGTTATCCTCTTGGATTTGGAAACTCTTTTTATTGTGCAGATGGCAAGATTCATAAAAATACTGGTAATCACTCAAATATGGGAAATATAATTCAAAATATAATTTTCAAAAAAATGGTCAAACACTTATTCAAATAATTCATGAAATAATGACAATGTTATTGAATTTAATAAGTTATAGAGAACATTAATCTATATTATTTACATTCATCTTTCTTATTATTGTGATTTCTGGCCGTATTCAGGTATCTGTTGATCTGGGTAAACTTCAAAGAATTTGGTAACATAATAACTGTGAGTTCAATCCCTGGGCAAGACAGTGCTGAGAAATAAGGGAATAGTACTTAATAAGAACAAGAAAATATTCGAATTCCATCAGATGTGGAGAAGGCTTTTCAAAAGTGCCAAATTGTGATTTTCTTATATGTTGTGGCAAAATACATTGGAGAAAAAGCATGACTGGATGAAAAGAATTAATGAAGTTTTTAGCAGAAACGAGAACAATCTACCACCATAAGTTAAATAAAGAGTTCAGTTCAAAATTTTTTGGTTACCTGGATTGATAAGCACCTGAAGAAGATCAGAGGGTACATTGGCTGGCACATTATGATAACAACAACAACAAGGATTAGAACAACAGTCCAAATGTAAATAATGATAACTTATTGATGTGTCCTGGAAAGGGATATATTTGTTCAAAGTAACAAAGTGGTTGTTGACTACTGTAACCGGGTAGGACAATCTAGCAGGTAACCGTAATGGACTGGTCCTCATCATAGTGGTAGGCAATAGGCATAGGCAATAGGCGAAGACAATAGGCATAGTCCCTGTACTTCCACATCACTCTGTATTTATGGCTGACACCAGCCAATCATATTACTGTGAGGGGGAACCCAGGTGTATGCATATTCATTACATCACTTATCATCCAGAAATTCAGACAGAAACATTAATTTTAGTATAAGGTGTAAGCTAATTCAAAGCCTTTCCATTTCTTTTATTTTTCATGAGAATTTTTTTTTACACCAACAAAATTAGCGCACAAATTATAATATTGTAGACAAGTCATTCTATCCTAAGCAAAAAAAAAAAAGAAGTGTCCAGCTTTTCAATTACAATGACAATAAAGATTGTCCCATTCAGATTTATAATTTTAAGAATTCATTTAAACAAATCAATTCATACAGTATTTTGTCTGATGTCTTCAATGAAGCAATATCATCATTATTAATCTTTGATTAGTTTATCTTCCATATTATTATTGTGATTTTTAGTGCACCAGAAACAAAAATAATTGTTAATTGTTGAATAAGTGAACTTTCTTAATATTTCAATGTTTATCCACATCAACATCAATATATTATGAGCAAATATGCTCTGCTGTAGGACATCTTCTTCTTTTATGTGCCATTTATGTGCCATAGGCGATCCACCAGCATCTTGTAGTTCTTAATAAGTTTTGTCTTTTTGTTATTTGTGTTCTACCATTCATTTACTCAAACTCATCAAGTGTGATATGCGCTGTTTTCCCTGTCCTCCTTTCTACTGTCCTGTGAGTATCAGATTTTCCAAGCCCTACTTCCTCATTGCATGCCCCAGAAATTTCAACTGCCTCTTCCTCATGTTAAGTATAAGTTTTCTTTTTGTTTCCATTTTCTCTAAAACCTTGTTGTTGCTCAAATATTTGGTCCATATTATTCTCAGCATCTTTCTGTAGAACCACATTTCTGCTGCTTTAGATCTCTCAAAGGGCAACTGTAGAACATAAATTTTCCAAAATCTCTTCAATTTTTTTACTTTCCAAACTGTCCACACACACACACACACACACACACACAGTATATAAAACATCACTAACAAAAATGATTTATAATTTTTTCAGGACTGGCTGCAAGAAATCTGTGAAAAGAACAATTGGGATCACACTACATCTCCCATCATATGGCGAGAGTTGGTTGATCATGGTGGCAAAGGAACCTTAATAGGAGGAGCCAATGAATTTCAGGAATACGCATATGGCTATTATGGGGTCACAGTAGATATGAGCAGCATGGATACTATGATTATATCCAAAGAGAATAAAAAAACAAAAGAAATTATAGATTGTGAGCTGAAAGAATTAGCAGCCAAATATGATCCCCTATATATGTGCATCACCAGTGCTAGTAATCCAATCTGCCATGCTTTAACAAGTTACCTCTTGTCAGGAGAAATTATCAGTCCACAGCAAGATATTGTGCTGAATCTATTTGATGCAGATCCCTCAAACTTAGATCTTCTCAAAGGTGTGGCTGAAGACATTATGAACATGGGCTATGGCTGTATGAAGGAAAATGTTCAAATCCCATCAGATGTGGAGAAGGCTTTTCAGAAGTGCCAAATTGTGATTTTCTTAGATGAGTTGCCGCAAGACATATCAGAGAAAAAGCATGACTGGATGAAAAGAATTAATGAAGTTTTTAGTCACTATGGCCAAGTGCTCAACCAGGTTGCTCATAGGAATGTGAAGGTTTTTGTGGCAGGTGAGGGAAACATCAATCTTCACACAAATATTCTCATAGAGAATGCTCCAAATATACAAAAAAATAACTTTGTGGGAGTTTCTCGCTTCTTGGAACACCAAGCAAAATCTGTGTTGGCTCAAACTCTAGAAGTGAACTCGTCCTGCATTGCAAATGTGGCAATTTGGGGAGACCTTAACAAAAATTATTTGGTTAACATCCAGCAGAGTCGGGTTTACAAACATGACTGTTCAATTATCGGCCCATCATTCTTCTCTTTGCCTTCAGTTGATATGATTTTCAAAGAAAAATGGCTCAAGTTTCAATACCATTCATTGGTGCAATCCAGAAAAAAGACTGTAGAGAAACAACTAAAACACCCTGAATATTATTTGCATGCCAGATCAATTGCATTAACATTAGATAATTGCTGGAATGGATCAACAAGCAGAAATTTCTTTTCTATGGCAGTTGCATCACAAGGTAAGTTGTACAGGGAGAATATAACTCTCTATAACAATTAATCTCCACAAATTTTATCTGTGGAGACTTTAACTCTAAACAATGTTTAGGTTATTCTGAAGACATGCATACACACACATACAAAAACATTTCTTTCAGATTATTACTTATTAGGGCTTTCATAATTATACCCTGAAAAGGTTTCTTATTCTTTAAATATACACTTACTTATTCTTTTATATATACAGTTGTGGAAAGAATTATTCACCACTGCCTTCCATAATTATAAATAAAGCTGTAATACCCAGTAATTCTGTAAAGAATGCCCACAACAACATTTTTATTTTAAAGTCAAACAATAATACAAAAAATAACAAAAAACATTTAGCACAGGACAAAATTATTGACCCTCTTGCCTCAATAATCAATTGTGTAACCTTTATTTTTGATTATTGCCTTTAATTGTTTTTTCTAGTTCCTTACAACATCACTATATACACTGATATTTTGTTCCATTCTTCCTTGGCAATAGTTTCTAGTTCCTCCAAATTTGAGGGACTTCTTTCTCTTACTTTTTTTTTCGAATTGGCTCATAAATTTTCAAGGGGTTTATGTTAGAACATTATGCAGGGTACACGAATACCTTAATTTTGTTGTCACCTAAGTATCTTGTAACAATTTGTGCCATGTGTTTCAGGTCATTGTCATGTTGTGACATCCAGTGATGCCCCAAAAACAGCTTTCATGCACTTTGATTTATATTACTTTTAAGAATAACCAAATACTGTTCCTTATCCATGATACTTTCACTAGTTCTCTAGGTTCAGAATCAGTAAAAAGCATCTAATGACTGTCTTTGTTGATATATTTAGCCCTGATGTCTTTACATCATTGACTATGTCCTTTATCATTAAGTGAGGATCCTTCAAGACATACCTAACAATTTTCCTTTCCATTCTATCAGAAATTAACTGTCTACTGCCAGTGCTTAATTTATTTTCAACCCAATGAGTCTCATTGTACTTATTTTAATTTACTTATTTTTAAATTTATTTAAATATGATTTTATATGTGTTTATTATTATTTTAGTGTTTTGATATTTCTAATATTTTTAACAGCTGATGTAAACTACAGTAAAATGACCTAAGGTGAATTTTATTTTTCAATAAAATATTTAAGAAAAACAGACAAATGACACCTCAAAATGATCACTATATATATATATATATATATATATATATATATATATATATATATATAAACTCACATCTATCCAACCAAATATATATATATATATATATATATATATTGAAGGTCATTCTCAATGGATTCTCCTCCAGCTCCTATCCCATGAATGCAGGTGTTCCCCAAGGCTCTATCCTAGGCCCTACTCTGTTCCTTATCTTCATTAATGATCTTCCTGATGTCATAGGTTCCCAAGTAGGCATCTATACGGACAACACTACTATTTACTCTTGCCTCAAAAAAATCTAGTGTCGCCAACAAAACTAACCTGGCTGTTTGTCTTGAAAAGGACCTCCAATCGGTTGTGGACTAGAGCAGGAATTGGCTTGTTAACTTTAATGCCTCAAAAACAAAACTGCTCTCTATTACTCACCAGAGAGAAACATCCCTGCCTCCCTTTAGAATGTCTGGCACTCAACTACACAAGAGCACCTCTTTGCGCCTGCTCGGTCTCACATTGTCCACTGACCTGAGATGGAACGAATACATTGAGTCAATAGCTTCATCCACTGCAAGGAAAGTTGGCTCCTGTGCTGCGCCAGGAAATTTTTCTCGCCAGAGTCGATCCTTCAAATCTACAAATCAACCATTCACCCTTGCATGGAGTATTGCTGCCATATATGGTCTGGAACCCCTTCCAATTGTTTCAAGGTCCTTGATAAAATCCAGAGATGGATATGAAATGTAAGTGGCCCTGATCTGGCATCTCGTCTGCAGTTGATCTCTCACAGACGTGCCATTGCCTCCCTCTGTCTTTTTTATATATACTTTCAAAGTAACTGCTCCAATGAGCTGCTTTCGCTGGTTCCCAGACTTCATGAATTTAAGTGTTCAACTAAGCTGGCATCTCGCTCTCACCCTTTCACTGTTGAAACTGTTAAATGTATCTGTCTCTTCTACTCCAATAGCTTCATGTCTCGCACTTCTCGCCTGTGGAACTCCCTCCCCATTTCTTGTTTCCTGATAGCTATAATCTCCAAATATTCAAATGTAATGTCAATCGACATCTCCAGATGCCCTGATCTATCCGCTAACCTTCTCTTCATCCTTTCCTCTATCACTCCTCTTTGTTCTCGCTCCAACTCTGTAATCCCTTGCGTGCTAGTGGCTTCCTACCTTGCTTGGGGTTGAATGCTTAAAAAAAAATAGAGATATATATATAAATATATCAAGAAGGAAAAAACTTAACACATCACCAAAGAATTCGGTAATAAATTTGTTTTGACAAATAAGTTTTTAATATTTGCCTCATCAAACTGAAATTACAAAATGGTTTAAATTTATCCAGACAATTTATTAAAAATTATTTTAAAATTAAATCACAAGAGAAAAAGATGTAAATGTCTAAGTTACTTGACCTAGAAAAATTTTCCTGGGGAATTACATTATTGAAGAGAAGAATGGGGGGAAAAAAGGGAGAAGTAAGGTTTCAGCACAATGAGCAGGGATAGGTGGGGAAAGTACAAGTGACAGCTAGTGAAATACACTGAATATAAAATCAAAATTTACATCATCACCATCTAATCTACATCAATATAACAATTATCATTATATATATATATATATATATATATATATATATATATATATATAAAAGAGTGAAAAATAAATAATATAATATATAAAAAAACCTTAAATTCATTATATCTAATTCATCTTCATAAATATAAATACATCATATATATGTGCGTGTGTGTTTGTGGTATATACATATAAAAACATACATATATGCAAATCCAGACAACCACACAAGTAAAGACATATATACAATGCAAAAACATACACATACTACATACATACATGCACACATGTATATATATATATACATGTACACATATATATATACATATAAATGCCTATATACATATACATAAATATACTCACATGTAAATATATATATATATATATATACACATACACACCCCATTACATGCATATATATATATATATATACACACACACACAATAATACACATATATATCCATATATAATACACTCACACATACATATACAAATACATGCACATATATATACATATATAGGCATACACCCATACATATACATACATATATACATATAGACACACACATACACAAAAACATATATATATATATATATATATATATATATATATATATATATATATATATAAATCAAAGCATGTAACTTTTAATAATGCAAAATAATTGTATGACTGCAAAATAAATACAAAATAAAATTTTATTTATAAGATAATTTAAATCTATTTTTATGGCAACATTTAAATATGATCTCATTTCTTTGGTTCAATAGCTGGTTAGTATTTTTATATTTATTTTATTTTTTTCTTCCAGGCACAGATTGCGTCTATTTCTGAAGCTGTTAGGGGTTTGGGATTTACCTATAATCTTCCATTTTATCTGTCGGGTGAAGTTTCTATCCTTTAATTCCCAGAAATATTTAGAAAGAGCTGTTTGGTGTTTTAGATAAGGATCAATGAAAGAATACTTGTGTACTATCATTGTAGTTGGATAAAAAATACTCTTTAATTAAAAAAACTGAGCTTCTACTTGAATATAAGTATCTGTAAAAAATACCATTTTAACAAAGTAAAATAAAAATGACAATATGTTTGGATTTAATTGATTTCTTACACACACACACACACACACACATATATATATATATATATATATATATATATATATATATATATATATAAGAAATCGATTAAATCAACATATTCTTATATATATATATGTGTGTGTCTGTGTGTGTGTATATATATATATATATATATATATATATATATATATATATATATATAAGAAATTGATTAAATCCAACATATTCTTATATATGTACATATATATGTGAGTCTGTGTATGTAAGAATAAAGGTGTGTGTGTATATATATATATATATATATATATATATATATATATATTGGGTATATTTTGGCAAAATATTTTCATTGAGACATGTTTGATTGAATAATTTAGACATGTTTTTCTTCTTATTTTCAATTGGATCCTAAATGACCTCTGAGATCCTAAGTGTCCTCTTATTTTCAATTGGATCATAAATGTCCTCTGGGAGATTGTATCTCCAATGGAAAAAATAATATTTATGTCGTCCACACTATGACTACATTGTCTTGGCAGCTGAGTTTTCATTTCAATGATGGATCCAACATTTCTAAACATTTATTACAGAATACTTGAAATGGATAAGTTGATACACATATAAAAAGTAGTAGTAATTTATTCTGAAGAATAATACAATACTAACAATTGAGAACACAGTCTACTGGAATATCAGTTAATTGTGAACTTCACCTCAGTTCTGTTCAATTATTTATTTTGTAATTATACACAATTGTGGCACAAGGCTGAAGGAGGAAAAGGGAGAGGCTGGTCTTCATTAGCTGTCCTAGTCCTACTTAACTGACTCATAACCCTTTCATTCATTACAGTTTACTCATTCACTACAAGAACTTATCCATCACCTCTCAATCCTGCATATACCGAAATACCGCATATTTACAGGGGACTTACAAAACCCCTAATGATATAAAATTGGAAAATCTGTAACGTCTTCTTTTTTTTACCAAAAATATATAAAAATTTCATGATTCATAAAATGATGGGGTGGGGATGACACCAAAAAACAAACTAAAAATGTAACACAAAGATAAAACTAAAAGAAATAAATGTTAGTAGGACCTGTCCACCCCTCAAAATAATAAGTGAGGCTGCTGTATTCTGCATATAGACAGAATAAGGAAGCACACTC